TTTTGTTTATTGCCATAGCAATAACATACTAAATTTTTTCGACATTTGGACAAGTAGAAGCAAAGTTATAGCGATATAAGCGATTTTTTAAATTCTTCCATAGTAATTCCCATACAAATTTCAAATCATTGGCGCGACCTCTAAACCTTCATCAATCTTTACCAATTTTTGCACAGGTTCATATTTTGGGGCTATGAATCGAACTGGAGGGTGGCCCATCAGAAATTCATCACTTTTTTCAGAATGAAGCACCCTAACCTGCACTCGTGTTGGCCCGGCTTGGACGGTCCTGCAGCAGAGGATAACAGGCATTTTGGATGGATGGAGACGACTCACATTTGAAGACCTGGTGAGACCTGCCTTAATAGGAATAGGAAATACGAAACGTGTGGAAATTCTTAAACTTTTTATTAATTACATCTGCTTTGTTAATGGATGTAACGGTAGAATTGATGTAGCTGAGTTGAATTTTCATCTAGATATAGAAAACTAATTGTAAAAACACTGACAATAAAAACTAAACTTAAAAAAAAAAAAAAATCTCAATATCCATGGGTTACTGGCCAACCGCGTTCCAAGCAGAAATTTAAGCATTCAATTCTTGAATGCTCTGTAATATGCTTGCGCAGGAATAATAAACATTCGAATATCTGCATTATGTCTGATAGTCAAGCAGCATTAAATGCTTTAAAACAACAAGCAACATGCAATTCCAAACTCGTATGGGAATGTGCAATGTCACTTCAGAAATTGGCCTGTCAAAACCAAGTAAACTTATATTGGGTTCCTGGCCACTGTGGAATTGAAGGGAATGAAAAAGCCGATACGTTAGCCAGGCTAGGATCATCTCAACAATTCATAGGACCAGAACCATTCTACTTGTTCTCTTAAAATGGAGATCAAGAAATGGAAAAAAATGAAAGTGGAGGCCAATTGGAACAACACTTCCATTGCTAGGCAGTCGAAACGGTTCATAATTCCGAACATTTCAATGACTAGCAAAATTCTTGAATTATCAAAGAAAGATCTCAGTGTCTATACTGGTTTGATAACAGGACATTGTCCATGTAAATATCATTTGCAGCTAATAGGAAAACTTCAATAGGATATGTGTCGATTATGTGGTATAGAAAAGGAAGACTCTGAACACCTGCTATGCTCTTGTGCATTGAAGATTATAAAAGGCGTATTTTTCTGGATAAGGGGCTGGCAGAACCCTTTGATATTTGGAATGCAGGTCCCAGTAAAGTAGTACATTTCATTCGAAATGTAATACCTGGCTGGGAAAATGCTTTTGGTCAGTCTATGTCGGTCGGTGATACGACATAACTGATAAAGCACTATAAAAACGAAGAATATCACAATAGATCAAAGTAATGGTCGCAGTAATGAATACACCCAACACGAAAAAAAAACATACCTATGTTTTCATTTTTTGATAAAAAATTGTGATATTTTTTTAGCGTGTATTTTTTTTAAGTGCAATCCAGCTTCTTTCAACTTTGTCTCAGACGTCATTTCGATTGATTTATTGATATCAAATACGCCATTTTGAAAAATTAAGTGATAGTCAAAATAGCCGAGTTCCAGCACAATCTTGGTTCCTTGCCCCTAGTGAACAGTTATGCGAAGTTTCATGGAATTCTGAGAGGTGAAATCTGAAATTCGTTTGCTACTTGGCGTGGATTTGCTCCCTTGGCTTGTGCGTGGTTCAAAGTTTTCTTTTCGCCACCATCCGTCTTCATAAATGTGACTGTGCAAGGGAAGATGGAAAGTGCAAGGGGGTGCGGAAATGGATGTCATCAGGACACGCACATCCGGTGGAAATCCCGCTTCATACACTCACAAACACACACATACCAATCACGTGGCGTTTTAAGTGCACAAGTGAACCGGTTTGTCGACATGGCTTTAATCCAGATTGATTGCGTCGAGCATTGTGACCTTGATGGTGGCAAATGGTCCATCAATTACGACATTGCGCGGAGACTAGCTCCTTGGTAATACAATCCAATTACATACACGGCTCAGCGTTGCCTTGCATTTGTTGGATGAATAATTGTCTATTTGATCGGTTATCCGAGGGACTCTATTGTTCGTGAATAATTCAGTGTAGTCGTATCATTCCCAGGAAGGACGATAATTAACTCAACGCAGGTGACAGGGCCGGGAAACTTTACGGCTGATAACGATGAATTGAGTGGGAGAGAATGTCGGTTTCTTCTGAGATTGTGTCAAAGCACGTCGCTGATTAATGAAACTTTGCGTCTCTGCGGTCGTTGATTAATGAAATGCTCGGGTTTGGTAAACTTTTTTTTCCACCTTCAGGGCTTGTATCCAGCCAAAACTGTGCCAAGAGATTGACTCCACGCAAAGAATCATGGAAACGGATCTAGAATTTAAAACGGATGCAGAACTTAAAAATACATAACAGAACGTGTTTCATGCTTGAACTGACTAATCAGGCTGCTCAAGACAGTGATTGGTCGATTGGTGAATTGGTAGGAACCTTGGGATCGAAAATGCCCTCTGAACAATGTTGTTAGGGTGTAGTTTCAAGGAAGGCTTTTTGATTGGTTCGTTTATAAAGAGTCAGATTGGTAGCAATTCAATGAAGATAAATATGTGCCTGATAACCAGATCAATTTCATCACCACAACATGGAATCCACACATACAATTTTGACCAAATTCTGATAACTTGAACCGAAGATACAGGTCTAGTAGGCTCTGCATCCACAAACGGTTGGTTTGTTTTCGTTGTTGCTGATTTCATGAGAATCCGCTTATTTTTAACTTGTGCCAAACCCAAACTACAATTCTTGATAGAGCTGGAATTAGGGCGTAACAGCTTTTATAAACAATGACTTCTCTCGATGATTTCTCGAAACTCAAGGCACGCCCACGCTAACCAACGGGAAGGGGAAGTCTTCTTCTACCCCATGGTGACGTTGCTTTGAGTGAGTGAATCTTGGCTTTCTTGAAATCATCGAGAGAAGTCATTGCTTACAAAATCTGTTTCTCCCTAATTCCAGCTCTATCTTGAATTGTTGTTGCGTTTGCATAAGTGTAAGTGAAATTCTATTTATTTTAATTTATTGTAAAAACTTTAAGACAATAATTTGAATCGAGTAGCTGTGGCGTCGTGTTCTTTTTGCTTGTTTGGTGCTTCGCCTCCGCCCGAAGAATAGTTTTACCGGGTCTTTTTTTCGTTTCTTTGTGCCTTCTGAACAATACACGCGACAGAAAGTTTCCCAAGTTTTCACTTTGAAGTTTTTAGCCACGTTTTCTGGCTCTGCAAGGCGAATGAGAACGACCCAAATTTGAGTTTAGTTCAATCATAATCGCCAAAAGTGCAGGAACTCAGCGATGAGTAAATTTGCCTCATGGTTGCCTGTGAAAACCCTCAAAAATCAAATATAGGTAAATTGACGAAAATTTTACTCAGTCTAGGAGTAGTACCAGTGACTGAGTGAATCCAATACATACTATTCTCATATTCAGGAAGATTTTCCTGGACTAACCTCGAAAAACCTGCAAAACATGAAGTAATTTTACTCATCGCTGTGTTTTTGCACTTATGAGTTATCTAAACTCAAATTTGAGTCGTTCTCATTCGCCGTGTGGATGTAATCAAATATTCGATGGGAGAGATTTTTGCACACATGAAGGCTGACAAACACCTGGAAAATACGGAGTGGTTCGGTTCCAAGGTGGCTAAAGTGCTGAAGATGCCGAAAACAACAGTTTGACGAGTGCTCAAAACCTACAAGGAAACCCTGAGTGTGGAAAGGAATCCGTGGACCTACGAAAAAACTGGAACCAGGGATCGTCAGCTGCGCAGCAAGTTGTTGATGTGCTTTTAAGCCTACCCCAGCCTTTCGATCCGAGATGTGGCCAGAAAGTACAACGCCAACTTTCAAACGGTGCAGAACATCCTTGCCAGGGAAGGATACAAGTCGTACAAAGCCAGTAAACATCCGAACCGGCACATGAAGCAGAATTCCGTGGCCAAAAAGCGTGCAAGGCTCTTGTACGACCGTGTTTTGACGAAGCACAAGGGTGGCACTTTGATCGATGACGAAACATACGTCAAACTCGATTTTAAGCAGCTTTCCGTTCAAAAGTTTTACATCGTGACTGGACGTGGGGATGTGCCGGAAAGATTCAAGTTCGTGTTGCTGACAAATTCGCGAAGAAGGCCATGATATGGCAAGCGATTTGTAGTTGTGGCCTGAAAACAGAACCCTTCGTCGCATCCTCTACGATGACATCCCAAGTGTACATCGAAGAATGCCTAAAAAGCGTGTCTTGCCGTTCAACCGCAAGCTTAGGGGCAAAGTCATCCTTTGGCCCGATTTGGCCAGCTGCCACTACTCCATCGATTTTGTCCTCAAGCTAATGAATCCTCCGAATTGCCCGGAATTTCGACCAATCGAAAAATACTGGGCAATTTCAAAGCAGCGACTTCGAAAAAGCGGCGGGGCAGTCAAGGACATCCAGCAAATGCGAGCAAAATGGAAGAAATGCGCTGACTCCGTGTCCGTTTCCACTGTGCGGGCGCTGATAGGCTCCATCAAGAGGAAGGTTCGAGATTTCGTTCATCGTTCATCGCACCATCAATGCTGTAACTTTGAAGTTTTAATAAAAGTACTGTAAAGCAACCATTAATGGTCTTCTTAAACTTATTGAATGATAAATTACAGGTCTTTTTTGTGCGTACCAATTTACTTTTAGTCAGCCTTTACAGTGAGACCCGCTTTCAGGCTTTAATTTCCGAAATTTTCTTAGTGTTAAGCAAAATCCTGTGAAAATGAATTAGATTCAAAATACTTTATTTTTCAAAATGAAGCACCCTAATAACGGATTGTCTCTTAAAATACATCACCCTCAATCAACGTCCCACGAATTCCTGAATCTTATCACTCATTTCAGATTCCATCCTTCGCATAAATTATTCCTAATATCACCAAATCTAACCCTCGTTTTTTCTGCTCTCAGTCTTGCTTTCGTTTACAGGACTCGCCCCGTGACTGGACACCGCACAGAATGGATCACCATCAGCAGCAACAGCAAAAGGTGCACATCGAGAAGGCCCAGAACTTTATGCGCCAGTACCGGGATCCGGAGTCGCGGGAACTGAAGAAACTGTCCGCCAATCAGTTCATGGACGTTTGGAGTCATTACGATGGCGATGGTAAGTGCGGGGTTGAAAGTTTCCCACTTAGAAGAACAAGACGACGAAGATGCACGCTGGTCGAAGGTTTATGGGGTGTTTACACTAGTGCTGATTCACGGGCTGGTGAGTCTATCGTTCGCAAACCCTGAGTGATGCGAAGACGGACTCCAAAATGGAACTAATTTCGAGCTGACAAATAGAAGCCATTTCTTACCCGCCCGGTGTGACGAAACAAATATAAGCATTGCAGTCCATCAATATTAAAAATGTTCAAGCTTGACTCAAATCATTCTGTGTGGGATGTGTTTTCAAATATATCAAAATAACTATTAAACTTTTTTTCATCAAAAAATTGCTTCATTTTGATTCATCCTAATCATTCATGAATTTACGAATGTGAACAAACAATCAAAGAGTCACGTTTGAGCTTTACGCATCATACTGTCTGGTAACGCTTGCTGCCAGCCGATGGCAAAGAACAGCACTGTCAACATTGAAAAGAAGCCATCGCATCACGCAGCGCAAACCTTTGGTTATTAGCATGATGTAAACAGTTTTTCGGTGCTGATTAACATTGGCGCACCAATTTCTGGCACAAACTTAATCGGAATTCACCAATTTTGGCCATAACGCCCCGTTTACATTAGAGCTGGTTCACTAGCGGAGAAGAGCGAGCTGCTAGCAAAACTGGTCATCAGCATGTTTTCTATCAGCACTCCAGTTGTGTCAACACTAATGGAGATTTTTGACAGCAGAAAAATTATCAGCGCTAGTCGCTGTTTCACTGTAAGTGTAAAGTGGGCATTAGCAGAGAAGATGAGCAGAACGTTCAAGAGCAGGTGGAATTAATGCTTATGCTTTCGGGTTCTGATTTTCTTCCGGTCAACAAAAGCGGTAGCTTCTGAAGCGGAAAAAGGCAACTTTTTTGTTCGTTTTCAACCGTTGGCGTTTCCACCAAAAGAAGATTTTTTCTCATTGCTTCCGCCGGATTCCGGATGGGATCAGTAACATGGATGAAGCAGCAGATGCTGTAAACACATTTTCCGTGCTTGACTGTCAATGGAGTATAAATCGGAGATTATGAAACGTAATTACTCGAAAGAAAAAGTCCGGGATAATCTATATCCTTCTTTCGAAAAATTATCCTTCTTTCGAAAAATTATCGTCCTTTTGAAAAATAATCGTTGAATTGCATTTTTATTTTCGTTATTTTACTCATAAGAAGGTCTTTCCAAATTTATCGGTATTCGACCGGGATCAGTTGACTGATTCCAAATATATTCAGATACGAACTATGTGACCATCAAGCAATTGAAAATATCTCCAAATGACAAAATGACAAGTGATCAACGAGCCGAACGCTAACGCTTTGTCAGAAATGGAAACCAATAATGATACAATCTTCATCCCTTTTTATCATGACAAACTGCCTTTGTAATATAGCTCGCTCTGGTCGATAGAAGGAAACGACCAAATTGTTGGCAAGCTGCTTCACGAAGTAACGCCCTAGATGATACACGTGTGATAATGGGAATGTTTTGTTATGTCCTTTCTCGATTCTGATCGAGCTGTGTCCTAAACCCTGTATATTGCAACAAAGCTGGCAAGCTATATATCATTGTCTTTCTAGAAATCAAGCTACATTACCGAGAGAGTTTATCATGGTAGTACTAGCAAGCGTTTTGTCTTTAAAGTTGGTAACTGCACTCAAATGCAGGGATCGTCTGGAAGCACGTGCACTGCTTTAAAAAAAGGTTGTGCTGTGCGCTAGCAACCGCTCCCTTGCACTAAATTTTTTGGAGAAGAAGAGACCAAAAATTGGAGTTTCTTGAACAAAGATACACGCTATTTCAAAACTACCCAAATTTTAGTAGAATCCACCCAGATCGGTCAAAACTGAGCCTAATTAAAAATGGGTAAACTATGTTGGGAGTAACAAGTTGACAAATGAACAAAGTCGATCGGATTCATGTCGATGTTGTCTATTTGTCAACTAGTCACTCAAAATATAGTTTACCCATTTTTGGGTAGGTTCAGCTTTGACCGATCTGGGTGGATTCTACCCAAATTTGGGTAGTTTTGAAATAGCGTATAGGAAGGAATCAACTACCTGTTCATTAGAGTAATGCAAAATTTGAAATTTTCGCTCCAACTTTTTCCTGTCTCGTTTTACATAGAAACGATTTTGAGCAAAGTTGTAGCTGAGAAAATTTTCTATAAGAATGGTTATCGAACTGTTTCGCAGCTCATTGTGGAAGAAGACTAGAAGGCAATGAACAAAAAGTTGAGATTTCCCATAGTAATTTACATGTAAACTTCAAATGGCTTGTGCGAAGTCTGTTTCTAACCAAATGAGTTGTAATTTTGGGAGGCTAATCAGGACCCAATTTGAAACCATTTAAGCACTGTGGAGCGAAAAAGTCAAATTTTGCATCAGTCTACTGTTCATTCTCACCGTCAAGCAGTTAAGTTCAGTCCGGATTTCCGCTCGCTTTCTCGAGTTGTTCCGCTCACTTTCTCGAGTTTGTTTTGTTTCAAGCCGTTGAAGTGTCGTCATTGTCACACGCTCTGGAAAGTTTGGTTCAACTCACCAAAAATCAACAAATGGTACGTCAACGTACTAGCGTATCAGCAGTAGGGGTACCTACGATGAAGGCCCGAACGCAGACGGGAGCGTCAGTGGACGACGCTGATGTCCGTGTGCTACAAAGCAACCAGTTCTCGCCGTTGCCATCACAAAAAAGAGCGGATTCCCCCGCTCTTCACGTCAATGAAGGATGTCGACCAACTTATGACGAGATCACAACCCACAGCCTCGGTTCAAGCTCTGCAGCGTCGGTACGAAAATGGTGTGCTCCAGGCTAGAGGAGTACAAGTCGATCGGGAGTTTCCTGCAGGACAACAAGGTGGATTTTTTCACCCATGATTCGCGGTCGCTGAAGCCACTGAAGATGGTTTTGCAAGATTTGCCGTCATTCGAGGCGGCCATTGTGAAGACTGAGTTGAAGCGGCTTGGTCTACAGCCAGAGGCAGTGTATCCGATGAATCGGCGACCCGAGCTGAACACCAGCTAACGGGACCAGTTATTCCTGGTCTACTTAACAAAGGGCTTTACCACCACCGAGCTGAACGACAACATCCGGGTTCTGTTTCAGGTCATCATCTTTTGGCAGTCGTACAGACCTCAACAACGCTGTGCATGAACTGCCTCTCTTTCGGCCATGGCACGAAAAATTGCCATATGAAGCCACGATGTGACAAGTGTGAAGGGACTCACGCAACAGCGTCCTGTGGTCAAGCTGATGACAACGAGTCAATGTGTGCCAACTGCGGTGGAAACCACCGTGCTTCCACTCGTAACGGTTCCAAGAGAGTGGAATTCATTCATATTCAACGAGCCCTTAGTACCCCCGCTGGGTATTCTCCAACAGAGCAAGCGGCCCCCAGCATCGCCTCACTGCTGCAGCGGCCCTGCCTAGGTCTCTCCACTGCCCCTGGTTTATGGTATACCAGTGCTGTGTCAGGTGAGTCCGTCAACGATTGCCCGTTTACTTCGGAGGAATTTGTTACACTCGTGGCAGAGGTCATCATCATCCTGCACACTTGTAGGACCCGATCTGAACAGCTTTATGCTGCCCTTGCCTCTCGCCACTAGGTATAGACCGTGAAGTTATAAAGATTGCAAATTGGAACGCTTGTTCACTGAAGAACTGCATGACTTCCTTATCGCCAAGGAGATCGACATTGCCATCATCACCGAAACCCATCTAAAGCCGGAAGCGAACATCTACCTAACGGACTTTCGGCTCTTGAGACTCGACAGAACCAGTGCAAGACGAGGAGGGGGGGGGGGGTCGTTACTGTGAGGTGCATCATCACCTGCCACCTGCTGCCGAACTTCATACTCAAAATTATCGAAGCCATCGGGGCTTAGGTTAGCACATCGCTTGGCCCCATCACCATCATAGTGGCTGAACAGGGATGGGATGGCAGCGGACCTACAACGATATATCATCTAGCTGACTCGGCAGCGGTAAAAATACATCATCGCTGGTGACCTGAACGCAGGTAACAGTCGACGAAATCACAACGGCACCATCCAGAACAACGACCTGCAGGAAGCGCAGTACAACATCTTGAGTCCGGACGTTCCCACCCGGTTGAGTCGGTCTGGTGTCCACGCTATCAACGATATCTTTATCAGCAACATGGGCAACAACATCGCTCAACCTATCACCTACCAGGAATTCAGTTCGGACCACTATCCGGTGGTGGCCGAAGTTCATTCCTCGGTGAACCGATTCGAAGCTACCCGGCGCAACTACCATTGTGTCAACTGGGATCAATATCAACACTGCTTCGACACAACCATCAACTACGATGTCCAACCGGAGACGTCCGAAAACGTTGATCGGTGTCAGCAATCTATCGAGGAGGCAATATCCCGGGCCAGGGAATGTTTCATCGCCATTTGCTAACACGTCTGGCGTCCCACAAGGATGCAATTTGGGGCTGTTACTATTTGTCATATTTTTCAATTACTTTGCATCTTCACTTGTCTATAGATGCAAGCTCATATATGCTGATGATCTAAAGATATATGTGGTGGTACGCTGCATCGAGGATTGTCTTCACCTGCAAATGGTGCTCAACATGTTTGTTTACTGGATTCGCTTGAATAAACTTGTCATCAGCATCGCAAAATGCCACGTGATGACCTTCCATCGTTCCAAAGACCCGATAATTTATTAATACCACATCGATGATACTGTGATTGATAGGGGACCAATAGACTGATGCAAAATTTGACTTTTTCGCTCCACAGTGCTTAAATGGTTTCAAATCGGGTCCTGATTAGCCTCTCAAAGTTACAACTCATTTGGTTAGAAACAGACTTCGCACAAGCCATTTGAAGTTTACATGTAAATTACTATGGGAAATCTCAACTTTTTGTTCATTGCCTTCTAGTCTTTTTCCATATTGAGCTGCTCAATAGTAGCCATTCTTATAGAAAATTT